CCACATCCAAAAATGCCCTCATATAGCAAAAACCATTATACCAAAACTGAAGTAAAAAAAATAATAGAGCCGGTCCATGTTGCGTTTGCGTCCAAAACGCCAAAAAAAGGCGATCAACAAGTCACAAATCTCATCCATGTCAGCAATCAAGGTTCAGCATCCTTGTTCTCTACTTGTTCACTCCACTGTGGAACACTAGGCTCAATCGGTGAACCTGGAACTACGGGCGAAACGCCTCGACCGCCAAATATGCGACGCATAACCGCATTATCGAATTTCCTCCAATAATGATGAACGGCTCGAGACGGAGTGTTCCAAAACATTCCACAGCTGATTGGATGATCAATGTCGTAGTCTGATGGGCCTTGGATGTAGCTACTACCGCCATTAACGAGGAGCGGCTCGTGGAAAGAAGATCTCGGTGATATTTGCAGCGCGGTCGTGGAAGACCGTTTTACTGAAGGTTGCAAGTGTTTTACTAACGGTTTGGTTAGCAACCCAAACACCTGCCACAAAACAAAGTTTCATAAAAAGAAGAAATCATGATAGATAGATCGCTTCCTTTAAAACCGGGTTTGGTGGGATGCGATTCCGGTTACCATTTGGTTTTTAGATTTTGACTAAACCGGTTTGAACGAAAGCACTGAAACGTACCACAGTGCTGAATAGAACAACAGTGATGGTGCTGGTGATCATGATAGCATTTCCAAATAACTTGGTTTGTCCTGAAGTCGTGAACTATGATGTAACAAACAAGAGAGGTTAGTGAAAATTTTGCTAAAATCACATTGAATTAGATCGTTTAATCTGTTTTTTTTTTGTTTTGTTTATATCTGTTTCTCGTAGTTCACGGATCATACCTGATTATAAGCAAGAGCCATGGACACTGCACCACGCATCAAACCAGCCCACCAAATGGTTACTTGTTTCTTGAAATCGATTTTCTCATCCGGTGAAGACTTTGTCAAATTCGACAAGAACGAAAGAGGGAACACGAATGCGGCACGGCCCAGAAGAACAAGCCCGAGAAGTATTGAACTCACTCCAATCGACTTACCAGGACTGTCCAAAATTGTTACAACAAGATCATGAAAACAATACAAAAATACTGTATTTCATCGAATATTTTTGTTGTTATACTGTATTAAGTCTCACCTGTTGCGTACAACGTCCCATTTTTCGATATCGAGAGCATCCATTCCAACGTAAAGAAAGATAAAGATCTCAGCTAGAAATGACATTGCAGCAAAAGTGTGTCTACACCAAAACAAAATTTACATTTTACTCAATCAAATAAACATATATAGAGGTATTGGAAGAATAAAGAGACTTACTTTGTAGTAACCTTTGAGTTATCTGTAACATTATGCCATGTGTAATGAGACATAACAATCCCACAGAAGAACACAGTCAAGATAGAGCTTAACTGAAATAGCTGCAAAGGAGAAAATATTGTTACATGTTTTCATTTTTTTCATAGTAAAAAATTTAGCAAAAATGTTTCTTTTTTTACCTCTGCCAACATGTATGATAAGTAAGCCAATAACATCATTAGTGCAACTTCACGATCAGTAGAATGCCTGATTTTACAAATAGAGATTAAAGAAAACAACTAACAAAGAGTTATAATCGCGTTGTATATCGCTCTATGTACCTTCCGAAATAGAGTTTCTTGATTATGTAAGCACTAAGCAATCCAGCCTGAAAGAAAAACGAATGAGAACTTTTCGAGTTTTTTACAAATTCGAGCAATGGAATTTAGTAACAGAAGGTGAAGCTTACTGCAACACCAAGTGCTGTGCTTAAGATAAAGAGATAAAAGAAGTTTCCGGCAAACTCCAAAGCTATAGTTGAATTAATGTGTGTGAGATCGAATCTCTGTATCGCGTTGAAAAGCACGACAGATGTAGCATCGTTCACTACACCTTCTCCAAAGACAAGACTATACAAGAGAGGTGTCTCATCTTGATTAAGCACCTTAGATTAAACAAAGAGGAGGAAGTTTAATTAACCATTAGCAAATTTAGTAGAATAAAATTTTTGTGAATGTTCCATAAAGAAATTCTTACTTGCAAGGTGCAAACAGAATCCGTAGCAGAGAATATTGCTCCAATGGCTACAAATCAAAACAGAGTAAGCAATATTACACTTAATAAACAAGAAAGCAGAACAAGTTTTGGGATTTTTTTTCCTTACCTAGATAATCCGAAATGGTGAGATCTCCAATATTCATTTTCTCGAAAAAATGTATAGCACCTAACCAACCAAAATATCATCAAAATGTACAAGACTGATTTTTATGAAAAATTAGGAGAGTTGATTGAGAGTTTTGTTACCTAATGAAATGATAACAAATGAAATAAGAGTACCAATAGCACCAAATAACATAATGGTCATGAAGTTGCGGAAAAATTGCTTCTTCTTAACCTGAAACCTGTGAAATTATCTCAAATCTCAATTCAATAACGGAGTTCAACCAATTTCGATATAACCGGTTTTCACGAAATCGAAAAACTTACCCTGCGTTGAATATAATAGGTGGAAGAAGATAAATGAAGAAGAGATCTTCACTAAACACAAGAATCCTTGAACTCTTTCCTCCACTTATAAGCAAGATCACAATTCCAGTACATGAACCCTGTTAGTTCATTAAAAAAAAACAAAAAATCCAATCTTTAGAACTGTTTCGAAGATAATAAGATTTGGGTTTTGAAAACTAACGATGATAAGAGCAGTGATTGATTCGTTCATCCACCGAGTCTCTTCGAGTAAGTGACCGAGGACGATACAAGCGCAAAGCAGAGCAACGAACAAGTTCATTGACACGACCGATGCGTGATCTGACCCCAACAGAGTCTGTGATTTCTCCAGCATTGTCTCTAATCCAAATGCCATTTTTTTCGATTTTTCTTTCTGATACAAAAAAAATAAATAATGAAAACTTGATTTGTGGGATTCGATTCAAGTATCTTAATAAGCCTCTCTGTTTCCTTCTTTAGCCACCGGGAAATTTTTCAAAATCACGGAAAATGATACGAATTTCCTAAAATATAGGCTTCATAAGAATCAGGGTTTATTACAAAATTCAAGAATCACAAAAAAATCTCAAAAACTATGGAAAATTTCCATAGCGGATCATAGATTTAGAAACTTAAAATACAAACCAAGAAATTGACTAATTTTTCAAACAAATTTGAAAACTTCTATATCTCTCTTCATCACCGACAGCTCAATTTCATACTTTCATGAACAGTAAAAGAATCTCAAAAGTAGACACAGAAATG